ATATTAAGGGATCAATCCTTATCTACAGCCATGTTATAGCTGTATTGGATTGGAGATGTGTTCATTTCTCTGTATTCTAGCAGTAGGGGGTAGAGAGCCCAAATACATTTATAATATAATCTATACAGAACCCACACCTTTTCATGACTAAATAAAAAAAAAAAAAAAACACTGGACTGAATCAAAAGCATTTTCAGCATCAAGACTGAGAATAAGTGCATTTAATTTCCTACTGCTGACCTGTTCAGTAATATGTAAAGCTCTGCTTATGTTGTCCCAGATTTGTCTATTTTTCAGAAATCCAGCTTGATCTTCATCAATCAGCGATGGGATCACTGCATCCACTGGCTTAACTAAACTAGTCCTGTATGTTTTAGAGTCTGTGTTTACGACACTCATTGTTCTGTATGATTTACAGTGCATCTTTAGGGATAACAGATATAAAGGGATGATACCTCCTTTCAGAATAAAGTTCAAACTGAGGTATCAAATCTTCTCTCATTTTCTTGTACCATTCAGGTGGAAACCCCTCGGTACCTAGTGATTCATCAGAAGTCAGGCTGGACATGGCCTTGTCTATTTCCAACCAAGTTATAGGAGGAATTTAGAAAAAATAAGTTATTCCTGAGACACATATGCTGCACTGAATATTCAAAATATCTGTTTATTCTATATTATGTTGTTCTGTTCCAACACTGAAAATTCCACAAGTAGGACAAATTATGTAAAGATAAGAGCATTCAGAAAATCTGACATCAGTTGATATTTTTGATACTTAAACTAGTATCAAAACTAGATATTCATTTGAGCAGGCATTAATACTAAAAAGGTCCATTTGACAGGAAAGAAAAAAAACTTTCATGAAGCTTTAGAATGATCTGGACCTGTATCAGAACAAGCAGAAGAGCACATAGACTAGTCTACGCTCATGGACACTATGAACCTACCTGGACCACTGAAGGATTACACACATATAAGACACATGGGAAAATAAAAGAAAGTAACATTTAATAAACAAAATCAAAATCATTCTATTGTCTAAAGAAAGAGTGTTTTTATTATCATTGTGGTATCACAATCAGTATTAAGTTCTGAGTCTTAGCCTTAGTTCTTATTATCAAAAGCTTGAAATGTCAGTATCATGACACTAGTACAGTGGTGGCTGACAAGCATTCACCATCCAAACAGCTGCCACAAATCCAGGTGGATTAGGCACTTCACCCACATTGCATGGTAATGGGACTGTTTGTGTAAGGAAGGGCATCTTGCTTAAATCACCCTGTACAGGTTCACTGCAGTGATAAACTCATAACATATTATGACTATTGATGGTCTGATACTCTGCAGCAGATGTCATCAACATTCTCATGCGGTGTGATGCTGAAGGTAGGTACTACTATTACACTTGAATCTGAGCCTCATTTGAACATAGTCTGAACCAGAAAGAACTGACTTAGCTGGAACTATAACAGATGATCTGATCTGAGATATGTGTACATTGTGTCTCCATGGTAACTGATGAACATTCCTCCATAGACATGAATGCAGAACAACCCCATTGTAATATCTCACAGGGATCATTTACTGATTTTACATTACCATATGTCTGCATCATGTCTGCCCCCTGTTCAGAGACCCTGACAAAGACTCTAAACCTGATGCCTTGTTTAATGGTCCACACTTGGATTTTGGTCCACGTTTAGTCCAGGGCACCAGGGATCAACAGATATCAAGAAATCCTCTCAATAGCTTGAGAGGGCTGGTCTGAAGAACACACAGAGGTTCATCCTGGCAGCAGGACCTGGGCACTGAGCAATAGAGGCCCAGATCTACCACACCAGACACCAGCACCACAATGCTGCAGGGAAAGCAAACATGGAGCGACATAACCAAGTGGCGGGCATAGTGTACAGGAACATCTGTGCAGAGTACAGGCTGGAGACCCCAGGATCAAGGTGGGAAACACCTCCAAAGGCTGTGTAGAATGACTGAGCCAAGATCTTGTGGGACTTCCAGATACAGACTGACAGGATGGTGATGGACCAACCAGACATAGTGGTGGTGGATAAGAAACAGAACAAATATGTGGTGGTGGACATCACAATACCAAGAGATGGTAATATCAGGAAAAAGGAACACGAGAAACTAGAGAAATACCAGGGACTCAAGGAGGAGCTGGATAAGGCCTGGAAGGTGAAGGCATCAGTTTTGCCCTTGATGATCGTAGCACTCGGGGCTGTAACCCTAAACTGGAAGAGCAGCTACAGCAGATATCAGGAAAAATAACAGACATCTCAGTCCAGAAAAGTGCAGTACTGGGAACAGCAAACATACTGCAGAACTCTCAGGCTCCCAGGCCTCTGAGGACCCGAGCTGGATGAAGGAAGGTATATACAGTATACAGTATATGTTATATTACATAAAAATGTTTCAGCAATGTTTTCTGAGTAAAACTTATGAGATTGTGTATATCGTGAGTCTCGTCGCTTGTGTGTACATGAGCACATTTGATAATTGCTGCTGTAAAGTCAAAAGCGGTGCTAGAGTATGGAAAAGTTGATAGCTTTTTCATTGTGGGAAAAAAAGTACAAAAATACAGGAAGTAGTGCTGAGTTATAAAAAAAGAATTCAGGGCACCTGTCTCTGACTGTCCCTGTCTTTGTCAGGACACCTGTCTCTGAATCAAGAACATTAAAGACTGAGCTAAACCCCGAACTGTGTTTGTGCTTGTGTTTGTTTGTCTTTGTGCTTGTGTTTGTGTTTGTGTTTGTGTTTGTGTTTGTGTTTGTGTTTGTGTTTGTGTTTGTGTTTGTGTTTGTGTTTGTGCTTGTGTTTGTGTTTGTGTTTGTGTTTGTTTGTGTTTGTGTTTGTGTTTGTGTTTGTGTTTGTGTTTGTGTTTGTGTTTGTGCTTGTGTTTGTGTTTGTGCTTGTGTTTGTGTTTGTGCTTGTGTTTGTGTTTGTGTTTGTGCTTGTGTTTGTGTTTGTGTTTGTGTTTGTGTTTGTGTTTGTGTTTGTGTTTGTGCTTGTGTTTGTGTTTGTGTTTGTGTTTGTGTGAGTGCAGCACATGGACAAAACCTGTGTGAGGCTCAGGCTCCTGTGCACTTCACCTGTTACTTTAAAACTACTACTTAGAACACAGGACTTTTTAAAGACTAGTTTACATGAGTTTGATAGAACATGAGTTTGACAGAACATGAGTTTGACAGAACATGAGTTTGGTAGAACATGAGTTTGGTAGAACATGAGTTTGGTAGAACATGAGTTTGGTAGAACATGGGCATTAGATGAAGTACAAATAGAAATAGCTCAATGATAATGATGAAGTGCTAAAGGGAACATTACACAGTTCTTGAGTAGAATTCTACACTCACACGTCTGTTTTTGCTGATGACCGCAGATGATCTCTCCAGTGCCTTTTTAAAATTTCATAGTTTTAACCTTCATTTAACAAAATAGAAGTTTTGTCATTTATTTGTATTGTCTAAGTGGATGGAAGAAGTACTTCAGTACAAGTATATACCGAAGCAAAAAAAAAAAAAGTAAAAGTATCACATGAAAAAATCTCTCGCAGAGTTTGAAAGCTAATAAAGCTTTAAGACTTTCTGCTGCCCATGTCCAACCATGAAGTAAAATGATCAACTTAAACTGACAAACGATGTCAAAATGTGCAGGATTTGTAGTTCTGTCTGCAGTAAAATGATGACTTGTGTGGTGTACTGTATCTGAGTTCATCTGACACTTCTGTCCTCCAGGAGAGTTTTTTCTTTCAAGAGTTGAACCTTAAACCAGGCCACTGCACTGGCTGTCAGTGTGAGTGGGTGAAGTGTCTTGCCAAAGGACACACGTAACAGCAGGAGTTGTACCATCAACCTTTAGATCCGTGGGCGGCGTGATGTGCAGCTCTGTTGTTTTAACCCTGAACCTGCTCTGGGTCAGTCTAGGACTCGGCAATGTGGGTGAAGTGACTTGTCTAAGGACACAACAACAGTTTTTGTCACTGTCACTTAGTTTTCCGACCGTTCTCCAAACCAATCAACAGATCAATACTATGATTTAAAATGTCCAGATGATAAGATAATGATCCTCAGGTGCCATCGATTATAAAGCTCGAGCACACACAAGCACAATAGGTCTCTTTTAAATAATTCATGAGACACATACGCTGCACTGAATATTCACAATATCTACTTCTGTTCATGTACTTTATTGTTGCAACACTGAAAATTCCACAAGTAGAACAAAGCTTCATACTAAAAAAGTCCACTGGACAGGACAGAAAAGAACCTTTCATGAAGCTTTAGAATGATCTGGAGCTGTATCAGAACAAGCAGAAGAGCACATAGACTAGTCTACGCTCATGGACACTATGAACCTCCCTGGACCACTGAAGATCACACACATATAAGACACATGAGAAAAGAAAAGAAAGTAACATTTAATGTGGAAAATCACATTCTATTGTCTAAAGAAAGAGTGATTTTTTTTAAATCATTGTGGTATCACAATAATATTAAGAACTGAGTCTATTGTTTAATGTCGAAATTAAGAAATTTCAGTATCATGACACTAGTACAGTGGCACAGTTGATAAGCGTTCACCCTCCAACCAGATGATGGCTGCTTCAAATCCAGGTGGTTTAGACACTTCACCCACATTGCACAGTAATGACACTGTTTGTGTAAGGAAGGGCATCTTGCTTAAATCACCCCGTACAGGTTCATTACAGCGATAAAAGACATCTATGACAAAAGTACTGATACTTGATCAAGTAACAAATAAATGATCACAGGATCACTCTGAACCTGATGCCCTGTTTAATGGACCACGCTTGGACTTTGGTCCAGGTTCAGTCCAGGTCTAGTTTCTGTTTGAGGTCTGGATTCAGGCTTAAAACCACAGAGAGTTCTGAGAAAAAGCAGGACCCAGAAGGCCAGGGGTCAGACCAGGACTAGATAAGGACTAGACCAGAGATTACACCAGGACTCACCCAGGACTAAATCAGGACTGAACCAGGACTAAACCAGAGCAAAACCCAGATTGAACCAGGACTAAACAAGGCCTAAACCAGGCCCAAGAGGAGCAGTGACCCAGAGATGAGGTTGTTTGTGAGACTGGTTTTAGTCCTGGCTCTGACATGGACCAGAGCAAGTGCGAATTCTGGACCCGGACATGAATCTGGATCTGAGTGCCACAGATTAAAACACACAATGTCTCTGAAGGACAAGACGCCGGTAAGCTCTAAACCAGTACTATTATAGTAATCATATTTTTATAGCTGAAGTAATAAGAATAATGAGTCGGGCATAAAGCAGATGTTATAATTAAACATGAAAAATTGGTGTTTCATCTTTTATTTAGTGACAGATGATGTCTGGAGAGCTAAATGAAAGAGGGTGTAGATGTTAGGCTCACTGCAGTCGGAGGGATAACTACTACAAATATCAGCACAAGGGAACTGCAAACCATCAGGTTCCACAAAGTGTCTGTCATGTACCTTCAGTGGTTTGGTGGGAAAGGACCAGAAACAAAGGACAAACAAAGAATCCAAATAGTCAGAGGCCACAAACCCAAAGTGAACTAAGATGAAACAAGGACAGCAGGTGGTCATAACCCTCACTGCAAACACAAAGCAACAAAATGAACTCTTAAACATGCAGGATGCATTTGAATCTCTTAAAAACTCTTTAAAAACATAAGGTACCTGTCAATAGTCCCTCTTTTTTAAGAACCTCTGGGGACTCTTTGGGACCCAAATTTGGTAGTTTAGAGGGTTTAGAGTCTGTGCTTTTCTCTCAACTGGATGAAACTAAAGTTTGATTTTTCATCTGGTCTTATCTCTGGTCTCTGGTTCAGATCTTGGGTCAGTTCCATTACATTCAGGGCTTCAGTGACAGCCCGTTCTATAAATCCTTCTTGAAGATGACCTCCAGCTTCTGGTACAACATCACAGAGACCTCCTCAGGCTTCTATATGCAGCAGTTTGTCAAGTGGTGAGTATAGACCAGGACCAGACCAAACTAGACCAGGACCAGACCAGGACCAAACCAGTACTCAACCAGAACTAGACCAGCATTAGACTAGGACTGGACCAGGATTAATCTGTTGTGTGTTTCAGGAATGGAACCTGTGTAGTCTTGGCGTCCAACGCCACAATCAAAGGACACACAGCTGTAGTCCACCGTAAGTCCTGTCTCTGGTTCAGTCCTGGTTTCACAAGACAGAACAGAACCTTTCCTAGATATCTTTAGAATGATCTGGAGCTGCATCAGAACAAGTATAAGAGCACATAGACTAGTATACATTATAGATATAATATAGATATTAGGACAAGATCTGGCGAGACAAAATTGCAAAGATTTGTGCACACATGAGGATTTTTTCCAAGTGTTTACATTTGGATTAGACAAAAACAGAGTTACATGTTGGTGAGTTTGATCTTTTATAGTAAAAGCAGAACTAGAACGGAAACAAAAAGTATGAAATCAAATTAATAAAAAAATTGAGGCCAAAACTAAAAAAATTATTGATAAATTTATATATAAGAAAATATGTTTAAATTTCATCTCGTTTTGTTCTTGTGGACCCAATCTCGCTTCTCATCTAATCTTGTGTAAATTGTGTCTCATCTCATCCAAATATACAGACATGTGAGAATATAAAAGAAAGTAATATTATTTAATGTTGAAAATCACATTCTATTGTCTAAAGAAAAGGTGTTTGTTCTTCTGGTTCCTTTTTCTGTTGTAGTTCACAACATGACCAGCTGGGTGCAGGTGTTTAATGTGAGCCAGAACTCAGTTTTGGTTCGTGCCAGGACCAAAGCCCAGAACATCCATAATTTCCTGCACCACCTCCGCATAGACCCGACCGAGCACAAACCAGACCTGGACTCTGTCAGTCTCTACCTCGCCAGTAAGAAAACTATTTATATCTCTGGACAGAGCTAACCCGCTAGCTACCGCATTTCAAGTAGAAGATGAGCATGGGTGCGATTCAGTTTTATCAACTCTGGCTCCAAATCACTTTATATGTCAGAAGTATGGCCCCTCTCTTCTGTAACTGCAGCTGTCAGGTTCCTCATTCTGACCATAAAATATTGGTTTGAACCTCTACAGGCTAGAAAACAGCAGTTTGACTTCCATTATTTATCAGGATGAAATCCATGAACACACTGTCAGACCCTGCACTGGTGCAGTAGGTCCTGGGTTCCTAATGATGCACGACAATGTCCAGCCTCATGTGGCAAGAGTCTGCAGGCAGAACCTGGACGATGAATAGATTGATACAACTGAATGGCCCTCACGATCACCTGACCTAAACCCAACAGAACACCTCTGGGACATTATGTTTGGGTCCATCAGACACTGTCAGGTTACTCCTCAGACTCTACAGGAGCTCAGTGATGCCCTCACACAGATCTGAGAGAACATCCTACATGACACCATCCATCATCTCATTAGGATGTTGTCAAACCTGCATAGAAGCATGAGGGGGCCATACAAGAGAAGCATTTTGAGTTGCAGGAATAAAATGTTGGCAACATGAACCAGCCTGCCACGTCATTATTTCACTTTGATTTTCAGGGAGTCTATAAAACTAACTCATGGTGGCATCATTTTGTTCCTAAGGCACTGCTCTGTCCATATACTGTATATATTAAGATCTGATGTGTTTACAAAGCATTCCTTTAATTTTTTGAACAGTATATGTTATATTACATAAAAATGTCTCAACATCGTTTTCTGAGTAAAACTTATGAGATTGTGTATATCGTGAGTCTCGTCGCTTGTGTGTACATGAGCACATTTGATTAATGCTGCTGTAAAGTCAAAAGCGGTGCTAGAGTATGTAAAAGTTTATAGCTTTGTCTTTCTTGGGTTTACCAACATAAAATAAAAAGTGAGTGAGATAAAAGCCTCCTCTTTTAGAATATTTCAGCTGTAAGCCTCTATGGAACTGTTTACCTGCTGCATCTGGGGAGGATGCCACGTTAACTGTTTGCCTACCGGAACAAATTAAATGACACAGTGTGCATGGAAGGACAGGTGTGTATTGAGCAAGCACATGTAGGGAATTGTTACACCAGTATCGAAAGATTCAATATTATATTGAATATCCCTGCATCCCTATTCTCGATACAGTCTATATTAATAAAACTAGACTTTCTGTAAAGCCGGTGTGATCCCTCCATCTGTCTCCACTGATAATAATGCTTTTGTGACGGAAGTGCTGCTGCCAATCTGCACCATCGACCCCTCCCACCACCAGCACTCGCACCACATACTAATGTGGAAGAAGTGTCTTGCCCAAGGACACATCCTTGTAGACCCCCTCAGTTTAGATCCGTGTGGTCCTCGTTGCAGGCAGACGAACTGACGTGAGTGACAGAGACCTGCAGCTGTTCAGAGACCATGCCCAGTGTACAGGATTCACAGGAGAGCCGGATTACAGCTACCAGAACCAAGGTCTGGACCGGGACTGGACCAGGACTAAACCAGGACTGAAACAGGACTGACCCAGGATTGTCACTGTTGTTGTCTTAACTTGATTCTTGTCTGTCTGCAGAGTTCTGTTCTGAGCCTGAGTCTGTCTCTCTGGACCAAAGATTCTTCCATAAAAATTAAAAGTTTCTAAAATCTCTGGTGCTTTATTAATTTGATTTAATTTAACCAAAACAGGAAAGTCCAAATGTTTCCCGTGTCACTTTTGAAGTTGCAGTGAAAAACATTTCAAGTGCATGTGACAGGTTTTCATGTTTGTCTAATCCTGACTGGGTTTGGTGGAATGAACCTGAGCTTAATATGGATCTTAGTTTGACATCAGTTAACTGGCAGCTTGTGGAAAAAAGTACAAAAATACAGGAAGTAGTGCTGAGTTATAAAAAATAATTCAGGGCACCTGTCTCTGACTGTCCCTGTCTTTGTCAGAACACCTGTCTCTGAATCAAGAACATTAAAGACTGAGCTAAACCCCGAACTGTGCTTGTGTTTGTGCTTGTGTTTGTGTTTGTGCTTGTGTTTGTGCTTGTGCTTGTGTTTGTGTTTGTGCTTGTGTTTGTGTTTGTGTTTGTGTTTGTGCTTGTGCTTGTGTTGTGTTGTGTTTGTGTTTGTTTGTGTTGTGCTTGTGTTTGTGTTGTGTTGTTTTGTTTGTGTTTGTGCTTTGTGTTTGTTTTGTGTTTGTGTTTGTGCTTGTGCTTGTGTTTGTGTTTGTGTTTGTGTGAGTGCAGCACATGGACAAAACCTGTGTGAGGCTCAGGCTCCTGTGCACTTCACCTGTTACTTTAAAACTACTACTTAGAACACAGGACTTTTTAAAGACTAGTTTACATGAGTTTGGTAGAACATGAGTTTGGTAGAACATGAGTTTGGTAGAACATAAGTTTGGTAGAACATGAGTTTGGTAGAACATGAGTTTGGTAGAACATGAGTTTGGTAGAACATGGGCATTAGATGAAGTACAAATAGAAATAGCTCAGTGATAATGATGAAGTGCTAAAGGGAACATTACACAGTTCTTGAGTAGAATTCTACACTCACACGTCTGTTTTTGCTGATGACCGCAGATGATCTCTCCAGTGCCTTTTTGTCATTTATTTGTATTGTCTAAGTGGATGGAAGAAGTACTTCAGTACAAGTATATACCGAAGCAAAAAAAAAAAAAAAGTAAAAGTATCACATGAAAAAATCTCTTGCAGAGTTTGAAAGCTAATAAAGCTTTAAGACTTTCTGCTGCCCATGTCCAACCATGAAGTAAAATGATCAACTTAAACTGACAAATGATGTCAAAATGTGCAGGATTTGTAGTTCTGTCTGCAGTAAAATGATGACTTGTGTGGTGTACTGTATCTGAGTTCATCTGACACTTCTGTCCTCCAGGAGAGTTTTTTCTTTCAAGAGTTGAACCTTAAACCAGGCCACTGCACTGGCTGTCAGTGTGAGTGGGTGAAGTGTCTTGCCAAAGGACACACGTAACAGCAGGAGTTGTACCATCAACCTTTAGA